TACAACTTACAGATTTCAAATTCAACCCTCAGGCATGCATGGTTGTCACGTACGGCCTCGTGAAAATTTTTGGCGAAGTTAATAGTACCTGGGTCTTTTGAAAGCAGTTTAGTCTTAAAAATTTAAGTTTTTGAAAGAACGGAGAGATGAACATTACATATTTTTTAACAGTCTTTTTTTCCACATTGTATTTTTTCAGGGCGGAACACGAGCGCCATTCACCGAAGTGTCGATTTGTGCACAATTACACAAATCCAAACATTCCAATGGCATTGACAATGTCAGCTTTGGCACCATTCACGCATCACCTACAAGTCACCCATACTTCGTCGCTTGTTTTCTCAACCGGGCCAAGCCATTGGCTTGGCATTGCAAGCAAAGATTCCACCGAAGTACATCTGTGGCGCGTGGACAGTGTCATACAGGCAAGTTGTGTTTCATTCATTTCCCTAAGATTTGAAAATAATAATTTGTATTTGACACCGATGACTTGTATTTGAAATTTTGGCCCTTCAAAAGTTTTGCAGTTGAAGTATTAAAACTTTACCCAGGCCCTGATTACAATGGTGCCGGGAATACTTGGTTTTGCTTTTATAGCATTTTGATTTGCAGTCGTATAACGATGCAATTAGCAGCTTTTCAGCGATTGCTTTTGCCGAAGCTGCATTTTTTTAAGTGCTAGTAATCACCCCTACTTTTAAAGAATGATTGATCTTTCGGAAAAAGTGTGAAATGTATTGCAAAAGAAGCTAGTGGCAGATTTGGGTAGGGAATGAAGCCAACAATCCCCTTCTCATCAAAACCAGCGATCCTCTTGTGCTCTCCCACACTTCCATGTGATATGCAAATGTCCCGTCTTGAGATCCGACTGCCCCTGGGGCTAAAAAAGTTGCATAATTGGAAGCGGTGACAGTTTGATATCATTTCTGGTGTTGGAGCGGAAACAGCGTTATGCTGGTGCGGGTTGACTTCATCGCCGTCGTCGCTGTCCTTCTTGGGAGCATTTTTTATAAAAAAAAAAAGTAAAATTTGCGTTTGAAATGAGGTGTCGCACCTGGAGCAGATAAATTCGGTTGGTTCGACATTACAAATGTGGCATATTTCCTCAACCCCTTGTCTATTTCTTCAGATTACCGCTAATGGATGATCTGCGCTTCCTGACTACGACTCTGATGAATTGGAAGAGGTTTGTGCGGGGAACGGGAACCCACCAGATTTTAGTTTCGTAGTGATACCCTGAAATAGCAGTGCGAAATGGTCCTGTTGATGTTTTCGAAATTTTTATGATTTTGGTCATGTTTGGGACTGATGTGTCACGTCTAACATGCTGCCAGGAAATGCAGTGGGATTTTTAGGGAAAAAAAAGCAATAAATATTTAGAAATATTTTAAAGAATAAAAAATATTTTAAAAACATTTTTTTTAATTTTTTTAAAAAAATATTTAGAAATTTAGAAATATTTTAAAGAGACAAGCAATGAATATCCCTGGCTAATGTCAGCATTGCTAGTTGACAAACTTTATTTGCGGTGATTGCAATGGATAAGCTGAGAATGAGTTCGACTATATTTCTCCTGTCGCTGCCATATTTTACGCAGGAGGTATTAGCTTGGAAGAAATTGACAGTTACGTTTTGTTGTTGTTGTTGAAACTGATTTTTTTTGTTACAGGTGAAGCAGTGGTTTAATTTGGGCACCGAGAAATTCCAGTGCGCAGTGCTGGATTGCATTCTTGATGAAATTGAACAGCAGCCACCTCGTCGCGCACAACGCGTTACCTGGAGCGATGATATCAAGTAAAACGATTTGAATTTTTTGTTTCCTTATTTCAGCTTGCAATTATTATTTGTTGGGGCACGATATCAGCTGCAATTGTTGTATTTTACAGAGAATGTCTAGTAAATGTTGGTGATGACGATGAATCAAAGCAGCAGCAGGAGACCACCAGCAAAGGTAAAATTTTGGAATCTGCAGGATGAAGCTCGTTCAGCATTCCTGTTATTTTTTGTTTTTGCTACTGAAATTTGAGATTTTTGGTGTACCAGAAGCTTCTCCAGAATTTCAATCCGGGTACTTTGTTATGCTGTGAGAGTGGTAATGTACTAGATGGCTTCAAGACATTTTAAGGAGAAAATCCTGATTGTCTCCACGTATGTCGGGGAAGCACTGTGTCGCGTTTTGATTTATTAGGCTTGGCTAATACTATAGAAAGTTATAACAGGAAAGAATAGAAAAAAAGAGGAAAAAAGGAAAAGTGAGAAATGAAAATTAGAAAATTTTTGAGATTATTATAATGGTAAGAAGTGTTTTGGTCCATTAAGTCGTATACATTTCTTACCATTACCACACCTGGACCTCGTCAGTACAACGATTGTGGCAATTGAAGTTAATGAATGTTGGAGTTAAATTAATTATGTAATGCATGTTAGAAGTGAGCAGAATGTTGTGGAAAATAAGTAGTAATGCAAATATTAAAATTGTTTGATTGATTAATGTAAGGGGAAAGAAGTGAGATCTTACCGGAGACAGTTTTGTTGATTCCATAATGAGTTAATAAATGACGAGGAAAATATAAACCTGGAACAAGGGCTCCAAAAATAACCACACAAGATGGCAGGACTGTCGATAGCATCTTTTTTGGATTGTTGCTTCAGAAGTTGCTTAAAAACGTTGGGATGCTTTATTGTCAATTTTTTTCTTGGGATTAATTTTCGAGGGATAGGCCATCGAGGGATTAATTTTCCCACTGAATCTCTTAAGTTAGAAAGGTAAATGAAGATAAAAGCAGTAGTCATGGTCTTGGAGAGCTGGCTTGCAATGTGGGTGCGCTCAGACAAATGTCCAGTTGTGGTAATTGGTAAGAAATGTATACGATTTAAAGGACCGAAACATTTCTTACTATTATAATAATTTTAATATATGTAATTTTACTGCCTTTTGTAAAATCATATTTTAAATTTATTTTAATAATTTAAATTTTAGTAAAATTAAAATAAATTTATAACTTAAAATTTAAAAATTTATAAAATTATAATAATTTACTTGTAGTAAAAATTCCTGCACCAAAATATATTTGTATTGTTTAGAAGAGCAGTCGTCGACAGCAGCACCAGCCGATAGCATCCAGACAAAGCCGATGTCCCAGGATTCGATGTATGATGAGACGTGCGAAGTGAGTGCCATTTTGTTGTTTCATTCGTTTGATTAGCTATAGAAAGATCAATTAGCAACGGTTGAAATCCCCAAGTTACGAACTTACCCGAAAAAAATTTTGGTGGGCTCGTACGCGGGTACCACGCTTACTCGGGGGCTGGGTTTGAGTCCACTGATACCCACTTGGACGGGGAACATTCCAAAAAGAAAGATGGGAAATGAGAATTAGAAATTGCTGAAA